GGAATCCTCCAGCCTTTGCTAGGACGACACACTCCTTCAGAGTGACACCATCACTCACACCATCAAACACAATTTTTGAGTACAAATTTTTTTTTTACATTGAAGGTGGGGAGGCACTGGAACAGGTTGTCCAGAGAAGTTGTGGATGCCCTATTCCTGGAAGTGTTCCAGGCCAGGGTGGATGAGGCTTTGGTTAACCTGGTCTAGTGGAAGGTGTCCCTGGCCATGGCAGGGGGGTTTGGAACTAGATGATTTTTAAGGTCCCTTCTAACCCAAACCATTCTATGATTCTATGATTTTTGCTGACTCTATTAGCCTATTAAGAGATGTTTCATTAGAAAACTGCAAAAAGAAACCATATACTACAAAGTATACTTCTGAACCACTCATAACGAGGTGAATATGTATGCAAATAAACAATAACTAAAAGATAAGGAGAGACTCTTGCTTCTGGCTATCAAATAAAAAATAATAATCTATTTCAATTCAGTATCACTGGAATACTCCCTTATTATTGGTAACAGGTCTTCTGTTTTTCCAAAACTTAAGTCAGAAAAATAGACAAGTTTAGATATTTTATGTTTGTAAAAAACAGTGTAATTTACTGGAGTAAATATTTTCTCACTCTTTAAACACGTATTTTAGAATATATATATATATCTGTTAAAATTCAATATGATAGAAGTTCTTATTGAGGCCTAAATGGCCTCAGATCAAAATGTCCAAAATAATTTAAAACTTTACTAACATTTTGATGTACCTTGGCAATGTTTTCCTGCAAGTGGATCTTTCTCTGATATTTATATCTATTTATCCAGTTAAAACGTGCAGGTTGTGACTCTGTCTTATTTTAATTATACTACAGTAATTCTTTCAGGACTGTCATTGCCATTGTGCATAAATAATAAAAATAATTCTAAACCCAAATTCCACAGTGATTTCAAACTTGCAGTTGGAAGTTTTTTTCAGAAGTTATACATGTGAGCTGAGCATTCAATAAGGTGGTACTACCACTCAGTTTAGAGAGAGAGGCCCTGCTTCATTAGAAAAGCTTAGGCTTTATTACATTCTTTTTGCTTTCTTCAGCATGTAAAAAATGAATTTTACTAAATTCTTAATGATCCTACTGGCTGCTTTTCTAAGTATGTTTTCCAAATTAGAAAGCATGGTGTTACATTGCTCCCTGTGGGTAGGTATTTTTTGTCTTCTATTTGATGGCGAGCTTCCCATGCATCAAGTCCAGGTTGATAATTACAAGTTGTTGCCTAGCCATTTTGTTTGCCAATTGCATGACCCTTGAGGCTGTCTTATTCATTGTCATTTAATTGTTCCAAACAATGCACCTTCACTAAAATAGATGCATTGGATAACCAAGTCGGAACGATAGAAACAAATAAATGGTGACTGGAACCAATTAACATACACTCGGTCTAATCCATTATTAAAGAAATAACAGTATTTTCATTCAGAACAGTGTGCTTCAACAAATACATTAGCTCCAATTTCCACTGATTTTCAATGTTTCCTTCTAAATTAACACAATGCCCGCAAATATCCATTATTTATACCCAGAAGGCAAACACTTATTTTGTCAATGCAGACAGGTTTTATAACCCTGTGTAAAACAAGCATTCCTGTACAAATCAAGAACAACCACTTTCATAATATGAAGATATAAATCATGTGTAGACATGCTTTATACACATTTTGTGGCTAATATTCACGATTGTGGACATGAATCCTCTTTCTGTAGCATGCTAGACTAGCATTATCCATATGCTTTGTTGTGTCATCATCAGGCTGCAGACATAAAATTTCTCTATGTTTCCTCAACAGCAGAAAGAGAACACCTAACCCAAACAAAGACAAACTTCACTACTGAAGGACTACAGGAAGCCTGTTACACCCAGAAAATACAAATCTTTTATCTATGCATATGGAGATAAACTGCTCCATGGTTCTTAGAAGAAAAGGAAGACTGCTAATATAATAACAAATACGATATATAAATGATGAAAATAATAACAAGCAATAAGTAATCGATGCTTTTTATACTTGCCCGTGGAAAGGTTGTAAATCTATCCAGTTCTTCCACAAAGCAAAACATCTGTAAACTGATTGCTGACATTACAATTAAAAGGCTGGCAGTAAATACCACCAAACTCCCAAGTTTTTTTCCTGGTCCAAATATCTTATAGACAAAATCCTCCAAAGCAGGGGAAATCTTTATCAGCCGAACTACTCTAAGAACCTGCAAAGAAAGAGAAAATAGAACTCTATCAGTTATTTGATCATTACATTAATCAACAACTTTTCACAGGATCAGAGACTTCAAGGCCAAAAAGGGACTTGCAGCCTTGTAGCCCAGTAAATATCAGGTTGCCACCGCTTGTAACAGACCACAAGTTGTGTGTCAGGTTAAGGACACAAGCCCTGGAACCTGTCAGGCTTTGTCTATACTTACCTTGACCTGCCTGGAGATTTGTTTTAGCTAGTAACAGCAGCAACCTAATGACCAGATAACTGTAAACTACTTTATCTTTTGCTTAGTTTTTTCATGATCATGTGATGTAATGCTTATTGTTATAGATATCTTTTTTCCTAACGTATAGTAATAACAAGCTGTAATTTTGCATAGAATGAACTACTTACAACCCTTTCATAAAATGCAGCATCAGTGTGTACAGGCATGGGATGACAGCAGAGGTCTCGAGAGTACAGGCACGGGAGGATACTCAAGGCCCCCAAGGCTATAATCAACTCGCCAATCACCAACAACCATCACAGAAATGCAGTTGGGTAAAGCTGTTTTGAGAGTAACAAAGGGATCAAAACACACCACAGATGATAGTAAAACTGAATGTAATGTGGAATTACAGACCAGTGAAGGTTTATAGTGTGTTAGCAAACATAAGAATGGCTTCAGGCAGAGCTCAAAATACATCAGTCAAGATTTAGCAACTGAGAATATACTGCAGTGCTAGGTTAATTGCTCCAGTTTGATTATCATCACTGTTAAAAATTCAAACTTATTCTAAATAGATAGGGTTTTGAACAGTCTTTGAATAAAGCTCTGCTTTGAGCAGCAGGCTAGCTGAGATGACTTTGAAAGGCCACTTCCAATCTAGATTTTTCAGTGATTCTGTGTTACTTGGTACACCATATTATGTATTTACATAAAGAGTTGCCAACTCTTCTTCCACAAGTCATCATTCTCTTTCAGTGACTCAAGACAAAATTGCTTGCATAGTGTACCATATAACCTAGCTAGTTTGGTAATAAACATACTTTGCTTTTTCATACTATATACAAGGGAATTTTGGGTGGCATTTCTCATAATCGGAGGAAATAGTATTGTGTGCCACTGCCATATTTGACATATTTGACACCTCTCAGTATTAATAGTGGCGGCAGAACTGTGATCATGCATGGAATTCCTGATCCATTCACTGCTAACTCTACTTTGGAAAAGCTTCTGACAAGCTCTGATCCTCCTATTTCTGCCACTCATGGTGGCACAAATAGAGACATAACATCAGTAACAACAAGAGGTAGTGGCAGCCACAACAGTTGCTGGAGACAGCGGCATATGAGGCAAATGAGATTCTGCAGTTCTTAGGAAGAAAACGAACCTCTAGCCCAAGGTATCATCTACATTTTCACAAGAATCGTATTGAAACTGAAAGGTAGGAATTACAGTGCAATTATAGGCTGACCTTATGTACAAGTCAAATACAATTACTGTGCTGCTTTTGGAGGGAAAATAAGTTTGACAGAAGGATATGGCAGTTGTTTACAGAAAGACTTCACTGTACCTTGTAGCTTACTAATAATGTGCATCTTTGCATTTTGCATGAAATTTGTCACCCTATCTGTCAGGTATGCAGAATATGCTAGCTATGTAGGCTTTACTGTCAAAGGGGAGAGAGAGAGAAAGTCAACTCAAGAGAACAACTTACTCCAAACATACCAGACCCTTTGTGTGAGATGGGATGAGCTTTGGCTGTCTTCAGTAGTTTAAAAGGGTCCTAGATACAGAGGTCACACTAGACAGCTTAACTTTCACAACATCAGAAAAAGATGAGATAAAGTCCTTTCTTTCACATTGGTACTGTGATCACATTACATATAATCTGAGTACATGAAACTGGTCACCAAGGCAGTGACAGATAGTGAGATGATTGAGATTTCCAAGTACTAGGAACATGTAAACATGGTGCTTTCTTACTTACAAGATCTACTCACAGTGTAAACACTAGCTCTGTTTCCATCAATACTAGTTTCAACACTGATCCCAGCGGGGTGAAGATTTCTCGCTAGTAGTTATTCCGAGTTGTGTTTTAGAAACTGTATTATCTGCCTTACTTTTTTTTCCCCTTCCTTTGGGGAACTTTAATTGACCTTTAAGCAACACACTAATCTTATTGATACTATTTGTTTTTTTCATTTATTTTCATTAGGCGACAAATTGAATCTAGCAAAAGTACACTCTAATGAACATTTATGCATTCTATGTAACTGGATTGCAAATTGTATTAAATTTAAGAGCTGCAGAGGCGCACTATTTGAATTAAATATAAAAATGTTAAAAAACAAATTGAAATGAAAAATATAAAAGACAAACCACAGCTGTGTTAAGAATAATGGCTACATCTACTAAAACTGATGATATTTATTCAGAAAATGACTCAGCATTATTTTCCCCAAGCACAAATACAATACCATCTCTTCAGTTCAGTATAGGACAAATTCTGTTTAAATCTCTCTCTTTTATGTTGGTTTATCACAGATCTCTGCAATAATATGCAAATTCTGTCATTGCTCCACTGATTTTGCATTCTGTAGATTATAGCCACGGAACGGTGCTTTGCTGCAGTCTCTCACAGAGGGCTTTGCAAAGTGTTTTGAATGAATGTAGAGTGAATGCAAGAAAGGTAGGTGGGAGGGTGGACAGTAGCCAATGCGGTGAAGAGTGAATGATGTGTTGGCAAAAGGTAATGATAAAGACAAATGAATAATGCAGACTGAAATACATGCTAAGAAAGACGATAAGCCAAACGATATTTCTGCTCACTATGCTGGAATGTGTCAAATAGGACTTCTGTTTTCAGTAATCTGTTTTGTTGGCTGACAAGGAACACATTTAACCTGTCATCATTAATATCTAAAGGCCTGGAAATCTGCCTAACATCAAGACGTATTCATGTGAAAAAGACTTTTCGACCTTGGTTGATTTGAAAATGTGTTATCTAGCTTGCCCAGAAGCTTAATTGGGGGCAATATGGTGCGTACCTCCCTTACACACTGACATCAAAGGTAAAGTATTTTCCAACCTTACTGTCATTTGCCTCTTAGGGGATTTGGATTGCAAAATACAACCGAAATCTTTCAGTGTAGCAGGTGTTTCTGCTTGTAAAATGTATGTCTCATTTATTTTGGAAGAAAAAAAATCACATCCTGACATTTTCTGTCATAAAAGCTAGCACTTTTTTAAAAAATCCCACCACTGCCCCCGTCCCACACCGCCCCAGGAAATTAATTGAATCCATTAAAAAGAAAAGACTTACTATTTTATTATCAACATCTGGCTACATTTTAATTATACTTTCAATCCTATGAGTTAGCAATGATGTTATCTATTTAGTCCAACATGTTCATTTTTCATACTTAAAATTCCTAGAAAGAAATTATCAGATGTAAGTGGACTCTACCCTAAGAAATATGGATCAACTATTAACTAAGTTGCTAACTGTCGTTAACTGAGAGCTCCCAACTAGGTTTCCTGTGTGCTTTTGACACAAAAGTGCAACGGCATGTTCATGATAGATCATCTCTCTTCCAGGTTAGAAATATCATGCCACATTGAATTAACAACATTTTACATATTTGGACAGCAAAATTAAAGCTATAACCATCTAAAAGCCTCCAGATGATACCAGGTGAAAGCAAAACAGAATATGTCATCCCGAAAGCTTTCTTGAGCAGGTTTGTAGAACCATTTAGAACAAATATAGGATGGCATTTGCAGAAGCCTGAAAAGGCCGTCATATTTCAACACACACTTAGGAAGACTGCTCACCCCATACTGTACTCACTTGACTACAATATGTGTCACTATAGCCAATTACATTTATTGACAGGACTCTGTCCAATGATTTATTATTTGCCTTTATTGACTACTAATTATTCACCACGCCAATCTACTCTTAAATAATGGTCGGATACGAATTGTTTAATTTTTTTTTCTTAGAAAATCCCTTTCTTTAGCACTGTAGAACTTAGTGCATCATAATGAACCTCAGTGCTTTCTCCCACAACTGGAGGAGGAAGAAAGAAGGATGAATGAGGAATGGGTTGGACTGGCTGACAGAGGAAGAATCAGAAGCCTGAATTAATCAGTCTTTCTTTGTCTCTCCTTCCTGCTGTTCCCCAAAATGAAAATGCAGGAAGAGCCTCAATAAACACACTTTCTCTCTATATAAGAGTCATAGAATCATAGAATCATTTAGGCTGGAAGAGACCTTGAAGATCGTCAAGTCCAACCATTAACCTAACACTGCCAAGTCCACCACTAAACCATGCCCCTAAGCACCAGGTCTACATGTCTTTTAAATACCTCCAGGGATGGTGATTCAATCACTTCCCTGGGCAGCCTGTTCCAATGTCTGACAATCCTTTTGGTGAAGAAATTTTTCCTAATATCCAATCTAAACCTCCCCTGGTGCAACTTGAGACCATTCCTTCTTGGGGATGGTTATTCAATCCCTTCCCTGGGCAGCCTGTTCCAATGTCTGACAATCCTTTTGGTGAAGAAATTTTTCCTAATATCCAATCTAAACCTCCCCTGGTGCAACTTGAGACCATTCCTTCTTGTCCTGTCACTTGTTACTTGGGAGAAGTGACCCACACCTGCCTCGCTACAATCTCCTTTCAGGTAGTTGTAGAGAGTGATAAGTTCTCCCCTGAGCCTCCTTTTCTCCAGGCTGAAAAAACTCAGCTCTCTCAGCTGCTCCTCATAAGACTTGCGCTCTATACCCTTCACCAGCTTTGTTGCCCTTCTTTGGACACACTCCTGCACCTTAATGTCTTTCTTGTAGTGAGGGGCCCAAAACTGAACACAATATTCAAAGAGTGGCATCATCAATCAGTGCTGAGTACAGGGGGACAATCACTTCCCTAGTCCTGCTGGCCACACTACTTCTGATACAAGCCAGGAAGCTAATTGGCCTTCTTGGCCACCTGGGCACACTGCTGGCTCATATTCAGCTGGCTGTCAATCAATACCCTCAAGTCATTTTCTGCCGGGCAGCTTTCCAGTCACTCTTCCCAAAGTCTGTAGGATTACATGGGGTTGTTGTGACCCAAGTGCAGGACCTGGCACTTAGCCTTGTTGAATCTCATACAATTGGCCTCAGCCCATCGATGCAGCCTGTCCAAATACCTCTGTAGAGCCTTCCTACCCTCAAGCAGATCAATTCTCCTGCCCAACTTGGTGTTATCTGCAAACTTACTGAGGATGTACTCGATCTGCTCAATACAATTGGCCTCAGCCCATCGATGCAGCCTGTCCAAATACCTCTGTAGAGCCTTCCTACCCTCAAGCAGATCAATTCTCCTGCCCAACTTGGTGTTATCTGCAAACTTACTGAGGATGTACTCGATCTGCTCATCCAGATCATTGGTAAAGACATTAAACAGAACTGGTCCAAATACTGAGTCCTGGGGAACATCACTTGTGACTGGCTGTCAACTGGATTTAACTCCATTCACCACAACTCTTTGGGCTTGGCCATCCAGCCAGTTTTTCACTCAGTGAAGAGTATGCCCATTCAAGCCACAAGCAGTCAGTTTCTCCAGGATAATGATGTAGGAAATGGTGTCAAAGGCTTTACTAAAGTCTAGACAGACAACATGCACAGCCTTTCTTTCATCCACTAAGTGGGTCACCTTGTCATAGAAGGAGACCAGGTTAGTCAATGAGGACCTGCCTTTCATAAAGCCGTGCTGACTGGGCCTGATCACCTGGTTGTCCTGTATGTGCCGCATGATGGCACTCAGGATGGTCTGCTCTATAACCTTCCCCAGCACTGAGGTCAGACTGACAGGCCTGTAGTTCCCTGAATCCTCTTTCTGGCCCTTCTTGTAGATGGGTGTCACATTTGCTATCTTCCAGTCAACTGGGACCTCCCTGGTTATCCAGGACTGCTGATAAATGATTGGAAGTGGCTTGGTGAGCACTTCCTCTCATAAGGAATGGCTGGAGAGCTATAAAAACAAACACTACAGTGATCCTGGAGAAATTACTTCAGAAGACTCACAATAAGTGGAGCAGAGACTCTTAGGCATGTGACTGCCACAGAGATGAAGATTTGGAGAAGCAACAGCAATTGTACTGAGACCTCAGGGACAAAAGCTGGGAAAGCAGTGGTGGACACTACAGGAAGGTAACACTGTAAACACCTATATGCAAGGTCAAGGCTACATGAAGGACAGTGAATAAACTAATCCAGAACCTACAGAGCAGTGTGGCTAAGATAAGTAACGGGAGTTACTGAAAACAGAAAAGACTTCTTGGCAAAGTTAGAAAGAATCCTGTTTCTGCAAATCCACCCAAATAAACACAGTTAAGAGCAGACATATTTGTTATTTTAAAGAGTAAAACGTAAAAGTAGTTGATCGTACCTGAAAATATGTAAACTGAGAGTGATAGAGATCTGGATAAATATGAAGAGTGGTTCCAATTACAAGCAGCAACTCAAACTTGTGAAGAGATGAGCTGATGTATCCTGTGAAACCCAAACACCAGATCTTCAGGAGAGCTTCTAAATCAAACAGAACTGTAAAAGCAACCTAGACAAATATATAAAACAAGAAAGATGCATTCAAAACACTGAGTTGTACAAGTTTCTATGTCATGATGTCTATCGAGGTTTTGTATGGCAAAAATAAAGATTTCCATACTAATTAACAAAACCACTCATACTCCACACAGCGTAAACAACTATAGATTTCCTTATATTGGTTCATATTCTTCCTTAAAATGTACACTTCATGAAATTTTCTGAAGTCTCAACACATACATGTAGATTCCGCAATTTGGAAAGCATGAATAATAAATAATAAATCCATCCAGTTGACCTTTCACTTTGTGTACACAGATAAAAAGGAAAAAAAAAGATGATTTTTTTTTTCAAAATGTGAAGCAACATGTATGAACTGTCCGAAGAATTTTAAGAAATCTAAGGAACAAACCAAAGTTTAAAGATCCCTTGTTTGAAAATTGCTACTTCACTTTTCTAAAACATCCATAGTAATATGGCAACCAAAACAGGTACAAAAGGAGGTGATGGGACTTAAGCATTAGAGCAAATTAAAAAAAGAGGAAATTCAAGCTCAGTCTAGAATTGGTAAATTTTCACAATTTTAAAAAGATGGTGTTAAAGAAGCTAAGAAAAGAGAGTAAGGTTGGAAGTTACAGGGGAAGAAATCTACTTGTAGGCATCGGATGACTGTGGGATTCTTTCAGAATATTTATTTCAGAATTATTTAATTATGTCAGAAGTCTTTCTTGAAATATTTACATGCTAAAATGCATGATGTTCGGCTTGAAAAAAGGGAGACAATTTTACATAGGTTTACATCTTCAAAATTTATTTTCTCTTTCTTCTCTCACTACTGAAAATCATTCTGGCTAGACACACTTCCTCCTCACTTGCCTTCTTAATTTACCACTGTATATCTTCTGAGATACTCTCTCCCTCCCTTTCCAGCAGCCAGGAAACCCAACAGGAAAAATTTTTTCCTTGACTCAGCAATTTTCCTTTCTGGCCCTTTACACACTTTATGCCTTAAAAAAGGACCCTGAAATAACATTAGGTGGCATCTATACACAGCTGTAACTTTCAAAGTGCTGTGCAAATGTTAACAAAACACAGCTCAAACCTCCTTTGAGCAAAAGCATTATTAATCTTTTAAGATGGCGGATTAATCGACTGTGGGCCATAAGGTTTACTGGATTTGGCAGGGGATAACAAAGTTAGAGACTAAGATTTTAATCCTGAATCTGACAGTGACAATCTCTGAGATCCTGCCTTAAGTAATTGCATTATTTAAAATTTTAACTCTCCAGTCCATCATAAATGTATTTACCAAGATGAAAGAGGCGTTTGTGAGATAGCTAAATAAAATTTTACATATTTATGTGTACAGGACTGTCACAAGCAGGAGTGGAGATGGAAATTAAATATTGTTTATCCCCCTAGTCCATACAGTTGTTTATGAGCAGTGCTACCAGCTATACTATATGGCTTCCTCAAGGCATGCAAAATAGTTACCAGGTTTCAAATGCCCTCTGAATGATTAAATCATGGAGAAATGCTTCACAGCACTCAAGAAAATTCTTTACATTAGGAAAGAAACACTACTAAGAAATATTTGTGTGATTTCAGGCACACAAGGATCCATGTACACAGTGTAGGGACACTTTCAGGCTCATATTCTTCAATGTATCTGGCCAGTTTTTCAGCCCGTGTTCTAATATGTCAAAGAGCTCAAGGAGAACCATGAGACAAGTTTGAAGAAACTACCTCTTTATATGAAAATCTCCATCTGAAACACAAGGAAAATGTTTTCTCAAAAATTTTAAAATGAAAGATCCTTTTAAAGGAAAAAACATCTAATTGAGTCCTGAAAGAATAACGGGGGCGAATTAGGAAAAATATAACAGTGGGTAGAAAGCAGCTGGAATTCAGCTTCAGAGCAGGTGGAATAATGATGCCATTTAAATACACACACATACATACTTCAGAGTACATAGGCTTCCTATTAGGACAAGACTAACAAATACGATGTTAAGTGTATTTTAATTTATTCTAAAAATGTGTGGGTGGGATCATTTGCATTTTCCATACTTGTCAAACGAATTCAAACCACTAGTACTTAAAAATGTATCAAATGGTTTG